CTGCTCTGAGATTAGCAATGCTGATCACAGCTACTCAGTTCAGGACATATGGAAAGTTACAATTATGCTTTAGGCTCAAAGAGAGTTATAGAGTATTTTTTTAATCAATTTTTTGAAGGGTTAAGAAAACATTTTTTTGCAGCCAGGACACTAAAATTAAATAAAGGCTGATAAGGTCTCAAGGACAACTTGTATGTTGTTAGAAGAATTCATTCAATTAAAAGATTAATAGACATTCCTGTTTACTCTTAGAAAAAGTACAGGCAGAGATTGACAGAGTGATTGGCCAGAGGAGGGCAGCAAACCTGGCTGACCGAGAGTCCATGCCCTACACCAATGCTGTCATCCATGAGGTGCAGAGGATGGGCAACATCATCCCCTTGAATGTTCCCAGGGAAGTCGCAATGGATACCAATTTGAATGGATTCCACCTGCCAAAGGTAACTATGAAATGTCAGTTTTAGATACCTCAGTCCATTTGTTTTTACATCCTCCTATGAACCTAAAGTAAATATGACATGTATTCCTGCCTCAGGATCACTTAATTCAGCAGAGGCATATTATGTTTGCTAAAGTATTCATTACCTCCATGTATCTAAAACAGATATTTACATAGATAGTGGGGAAGATGACTCTTTGATCTAATATGTTTTGGCAAAGTCTGGCTTTATTTGTTAAAGGCATTTCAGCATCTTCCTATGCTAATGTGGGCTCACAGCAGGCAGAAATTCTCCTGATTTTACTCCAGAGAGGAGGTTTCAAGACTAAAGAACTGCCAGCCTGGGGTTAGAAAATACCTCTATATCAGCCTGATATGGATGTCTCCTCAGAGGTCTGCAAGAGTCTGACATATTCAGAGGCAGATGCTCACAACTAGCCATTGAACTGATCATGGGGTTCTCAATAGAGGAGTTAGAGTGAAGACTGAAGGAGCTGAAAGGGTTTGCAGCACCATGAAGAGAGCAACAATACCAACCAACCACAGCTCCCAGGGTCTAAACCACCAGCCTGGGAGCACTTAGGGAGGGATTAAGGGCTTCAGCTGAATACATAAGAGTGGAGGGCCCTGCTGGGCATAGGTGGAAGAAGAGATCCTTGACCTCATGAAGGCTGGATGCCCCAGGGGGTGGGAATTTTG